TACCGTCCGGTTAGATGACAGTGATCGCGCACGCGAGCGTCTTCCGATTCGAACGGTTTCTCGCATACGCGACAGTGCGTCGCGCTCGTGAATCTCTCCCATTCGTCCGGTGTAAGATCCATCATAGGCGCATCGGTGAATAGTCTTCGCGCGAAGCGCTATATCGTATAATTCTTTAACGAACCACAATACGCAATTCTCGCCGCGATAGGCTTTGTAAGTCGAGCCAGCATCATCGAACGCGCATCGAGCGTAATATCCAGCGCTATAGACTTTGTGATGCTGAATGATAGATGTATTCGGTGTTCTCTTCTCCTCTTTCTTCTCCAGCACGCATGGCGATAACGCGCTCCGATTAACTAAGCTGAATATTCGCTCTCGGACGCGTCTTGTCACCAGAAGCGCGTCATCGCCAAGAAACGAAAAACAACTCGCCCCGAAACGCGATAAGCGCGCTCATATCGCCGGAAAACGAAGAAAAACTCGCTCCTATACGCGATAAGGCCTGTTCTACAATACGTCGGATGTCGCTAGTCGCTAGTCGTATGTTGTATGTCGAATGTAATTACGACATGCCATTCTACAATTGAGTCGCAAGTCGGAACAAGTATTTAAGGTTATATAACAATGGAAACTGAAATGTTAGGCATTTATTTAAATTTGTTATCAGTTTGGACGCAAATTACAAAAATTAGATTACGTTTAAGAAAAAAACATAAACTAACAAGAAGGTGATGGGTAATACCACATATTTCTATAAATATGAGACAACATTTTGGTGCTCATCAAAAATTATTTATGTATTTTCGAGTGAGTGATCATGAAGAATTCTTTAAACTTGTAAGAATGTCAGTTCAACAATTCGATAATTTGTATGATCTTCTAAAATCAAAATTACGAAAAAGAAGTCGAAGCGAGCTTTTACCAACAGAGATACGTATTGCAGTGACATTGAGGTTAGTTTATTGGTTACATTCTATTGCAAATATTATTAATATAGTTTACTTATATTTTATTTCTTACAAAATATGAAATTTTATCACAAATTCGAATTCATTTTCAGTTTTCTTGCTCATGGAGATAGCGTTACTACTACTTCTTTATTTTTTCGGATTGGAAGATCAACTCTGTATAGTATTATTCCTGAGGTATGTAATGCTATATGGGAAGTGTTGCAACTTACATATCTCCGATGTCCACAAGAAGAGAATGAATGGCTAAAAATCGCAGATGAATTCAATAATATGTGGGAATTTCCAAATTGTATTGGGGCAATTGATGGAAAACATTGTCGAATACAAGCTCCACCAAATTTACATAGCGCTTTTCACAAATATAAGGGTTATTTTAGCCTTGTATTAATGGCTATTGTGGATGCTTATTATCATTTTATTTGGGTTGACATTGGAGATTATGGTAAATTTAAATCACATAATCATCACAAGTAAAATATGTTTTAAAGAAAAAAGAATTGTGAAAATTATATACATGTTTATATTATAGGTTCCCTGAATGATGCCGGAATCTGGTCAAATACTGCAATGAAGCAAGCATTTGAAAACAACATAATATCTGTGCCAGAAGTCCGTTGTTTACCTAATACAAATTATCCATTGTCGTTTTCTATTGTTGGGGACGAAGGTTTCCCACTCAAAACATATATAATGTGTCCATATGCAAAAAGAAATTTACAAAGTAATGAGCAAAAAGTATTTAATTATCGATTATCAAGAGCACGCCGAGTTGTCGAAAATGCTTTTGGTATTCTTGTGGCACGATGGCGAATATTACAAAAACTTTTAGCTCTGAAATTAAATACTGCAGAGAAAATTGTGCAAGCTATAACTTGTTTGCATAATTATATTATGAGTACCAATTTACAAAATAATTCTTATTTCCATGAAGGAATGATAGATCGAGAAATAGCTGATGGTGAGATAATACCAGGAAGTTGGCAAAATGAAATAGAAGAAAATGGTTTTATGAATCCTGTAGGACGAGTTGGTGCCAACATTGGTACGGCTGCTGCTATGAGACAACGCGAAACTCTCGCTCGATATTTTGTTTCAGAGGAAGGGAGCATTCCATATCAGTGGCAATGTATATAATAAATTATGATATATATAAATTATATATATGATGTATATAATATAATGTAGGGAATGTATATAATGCAAGGAGATTCAATTTTTTATTTGTAATAAATCTAGTTTTTTAAATACAACTTTTGTCTTTATTTACGACGTTAAATACAAATCTTGTAAAAATAATGAAAATCGCATTTAAAGTTTTTGTAATTCTTTTATTACTAATAATATTAATTGTATACACAAAACTTTGTAACTTTTATAATTACAAAATTACCCTATTTCTAATGTCATCAATACATACTAAAATATTTAATAAAGTAATAACAATATTGTTTGCAAAATATATATTTTTTAAGTGGTATACATATCACAAATAATATTTGTACTATTTGATTGAAACTTAAAATATAAAATAATATATAAAGTATAAAAGAAATTTCGGATAATATTTTTAAAATTGTATGCAATCTTGCATATATATTTCTTATAAAATATAAAGAATACTGAAAATCTGAAAATATGAATATGAAAATCAAAATATTTCTTTGTGTAAAACTAAATTTAAACTAAATTCAAGATATTAAAATGCTTTATTATTATATATAATATCACATAGAAGCACAGTTTCTAATTATCTAACTTATAAAGTATCACAATTAATAGTAGAAAACATTAAAAATGATAAATAATACTCGAGATATTATTTTTTGTTACAAACTAAGTTTATGATATTATAAAAATATTCTGATAAAAAATATTAACACAAAGTTTTTAATAAAATAAAATATTAAAATGAAAAACAAAATCTAACATAAGAAATATAATAAACATAAAAATACAACATAATAAAAATCTGAACATGTTGCCAAAGAAATTGAAGTTACTGCTTCCTTTTAAAACGTATGATAAAAAATACGATAGTTACATATATTGAAGGCTACTTATTCTAATTATTGTCTTTCCTCGTACTTTTGAATGATTTGAAGAACTTCTATAAGGCATTGTGTTTTATTTCTAGAAGGAACATACTTCAATCCTTCTATGGCGAACATGTAACCATCTTTTGTATCTTTTTTATTATACATATGAGATGATACTGCCTTCATAGCCGCAGATATTTCCTTACTTGCTGCTGCAAGATTTCGATGTAAGTGGATTTTTCAAATTTATCGAATTGGAACTCGTGTTTGACTCCGAAAATTGGATGCTGCTAGTACTACTACAGCTAGAAAATGTACTAGCAGGCCTATTTAAAATCTCGCTATCAGTTATTATTACAGGTTCTTCATTTTCAATATTCAATAACCTGTTCTCTGAAAATATAATATTTATATAGAATATTTATCAACATTGATATTAAAAATAATATTTCTTTTTCCTTAATGTATACCTTCTACTGATTGTCCACTATAACTATGATCATATGACGGTGAAGAAATAATTAAATTGGAAGATTGCTTGGATTTCTTCAACGGTGAAAAAGTATTTGTTGTACTTGTCTCAAATAATGAACCTTGTGATTGATTCTGGACAAATGATGTTTTTGTTCTGTAAATAAAATTATTAAACAGTAAGAAGTAAAGTTATGAAATAAGTATTAACAAATAAATAAAAAATAAGTACTAACATAAATACAAATTATCGAGCAAACATAGTTATATAACTGTTATATAACATATGTAATTAACATGTATATTACATGTAACATATAGTTGTAATTTACCACTCATATATGTAACATTTAATTAATATATTGGCATCGGAGGATGCTGAGGAAACTTGATTAGGTTAGGCATCCTACGATATCAATAAATCACTGTGCTATCTCTGGATATAATTACAATATAACTACAATATATATTATATTACAAATGTTGCATCTATGAGTTGGAAATTACAACTAACATGTACATTACGTGTGACATATATGTTAATTATACCAGGTATATAAATATGAAACCGGAATTTGCCCATAGATAGCCCTAGCTGTCAATGTAGTTACCGTCAAACCGCGTCATTGGCGCCATTTTCTTGTTTTGACATCTGATAAAGATTTTCAACTCACAACAATACAAGTTTCATACAACAGCATAGTTTTTAATAGCGTTGAACATGAGCATTGATTTTCTGTTACCATTTGAAGAAAACTGCTGCAGAATCGCATCGAATGCTTGTCGAAGCTTACGGTGAGCATGCTCTTGGTAAATCACAGTGCTTTGAGTGGTTTAAAAAATTCAAAAGTGGCGATTTTGACGTGAGAAACGAAGAACGTGGAAGAAGAGTTTGATCTATTATGAGCTGCTAAAACCTGGCGAAACCGTTAATACTGAACGCTACCGACAACAAATGATCGATTTGAATCAAGCTTTGCGTTAAAAACGACCAGAATATCAAAAAGGCAACACAAAGTGATTTTGCTTTATGATAATGCATCACACACAGCAAAACCGGTCAAGGGAACGATTGAGGCGTTTAGTTGGGAAATACTTTCGCATGCGGCTTACTCACCAGACTTGGCTCTATCCGATTACTACTTATTTGCATCGATGGGACACGCACTTGCTGAGCAGCACTTCACTTCTTACGAAAATGTACGAAAATGGCTCGATGACTGGTTTGCCTCAAAGGAGCAACAGTTTTTTTGGCGTGGCATCCACAAATTGTCAGAGAGATGGGAAAATGTATAGCTAGCAATGGGCAATACTTCGAATAAAATATTTTTTATCATTTTCATACAATAAACGTGTATTTTCTATACAAAAATTCCGGTTTCATATTTATATACCTGATAGGTTATATAACACTTATATATTTGTATTTGTTGAACAAGTACTAACAATAAATAAAAAATGTTACAACAACTAGAAACTTGCCTTCTGTGAGCTATATGAGGACTTAAAAATAACATATTCCTAACCTAAGCTAACCTAACCTAACTCCCATTCTTTCATAGGTTCATATCCAGAACCAGACGGTGGTAATTTTTGTCGCCTATTCTCTCTACTAAACATATCTCTTAAAGCCGACCATCATTTTCCAATTCCCTCAGCTACAAAAAATAATTTTACATTATGAAGCGTTTTTAAGTAATACAATAATAATTTTAAAAAAATTTACCTGACATATTCACTTGATATAAGTTTTTCAAAATTTCTGAAATTTTTGTCCACAGTTTTTTTTTTTTAATATTTTTAAAATCCACATTACGCTTGTCATATAAACAATGATTTTCACGCACAAAATCAATAATTATTTCATCTACATTTACACACAATGATTCCATAGTGAAAAATATAAAAATACGTAAAAACAGAGGTTATATTACATTCAATCGTAGTCGTACGAATGTCGGAAGTCGGAAAAGATGGGAGTTGACCATCTTTCTTTGCGACAACGACAGCCGACTAGCGACAACTTTCTGCGACAGCCGACAACCAAGTGCGCATGTGTCCGTCATCCGACTGCGACATACGACGTATTGTAGAACAGGCTTAAGCGCGCTCGTATCACCGCTAACTGTTCCTCTCTCCTTTCGACCCCTTAAAAATCATGATAACGGATCACGCGCCAAAAGCAGCGCGAGAGATCACCGTCGCCCCCCTTAGAAACGAGTCGCGTCAAGGTCGAGTCGCGATGGGAGAAACGCTTCGCGCGGGAAAAACGCTTCGCGCGGGAAAATATAGAAGAGGGCTTAATAACTTAGCCACGCCGTAGAACGGTCAGTCGTCGCGGATACGCCCAGCGCGTCAGTCGCTCTTCCTCGCGAGTGAAAGAAATTGTGTAGGCTGTATCTAACTCACGGCCCCATGAGTGCGAGAGAGAGGTACCCTTGGAGAACGAGAGACAGCGAATACTTTGTTAGCAATCGCGGGGAGTTCGGGCAGGAGGGAGCCGATGGGGAGGATCAGGGGGGTACGTAGGGCGAGGAAGAAGCGTGGTCTCGATCGAGCAGAGCGCCATCTCTTGAGCACTCTCGGCGCCACGCTTCCCCCTCTCCCTACGTACCCCCCTGATTCTCCGCCCCCCCCGGCTTCCCCTCGCCGAACTCCACCCCGCGGTTGCCTACAAGCGTACGCTATCTCTTTTTCTCTTATGGGTACCTCTCTCTCGCACTCATGGGGCCGTGGGTTAGATACGGCCTAGATTACCTACTGGTGTAACGACCAATATACAATTGAAACAACTTGCAAGACTTATGCATATACAATTTTTTAAAGGCGTTTTCATGCGCAATAATTTACCGATAAACGGTATACGGCGAAATGAGAGCGGTATCGTCAATTTGGATGACGTCGATGGTTCCGGTATTTGGGTTTTCCGGTCATTGGGTTGCGTATGCAAAGAGGGGAGATCGTGTAAAATATTTCGATAGTTTTTGAAATCTTCGACCGCCCAAGGAATTAGTGCGATATTTTGGACAGAATGTTGCAAATATAGAATACAATCACACGGCCTATCAAAATTATAATCAAAGTATTTGTGGACAATTGTGTCTTCGATTTCCTCAAACGGTCGATGATCGATGTGAATTTAAAGCCTGACAATTCACCGTCGCGACTCAGTATTCGTTCGACAGTTTTCCAGCATGTCAATCACGCTTACGTTGACCGGCAAGAGTAGCGTTCTTGCTGTAAGCTACTTTCCGGCTATAGATTTAAACGATGGCGATTACGAGCTTGGTTTAACGGACTTTGAAACTTATCATACGATCGTGAATTCCTGGAATCGAACGTGAATTCTTGGAATAATAAATTTTATTTTGATAACGACGATAAGGAAATTACGATTCCCGAAGGATCGTACGAATTACGGGCAATAAACGAATATCTCCGACGTGCAATTTTACAACATCGACGCGTAGTTGATTCCAACGATATTGTTGATGGCGAAGAACACGATGAATATCCAATAATGCTTCGCGCTAATCATAATACGCTAAAGAGTGAAATCAAATGTGTCTATAGAATAAATTTTAGTAAACCGGGCAACGTTGGATCGTTGTTGGGATTCTCGTCGAATCGTATATTACAACCTCGGAAATGGCACGAATCGAATGTACCGATAAATATTATTAGCGTAAATATTATTCGTATAGAATGCAGCG